GATGAATTCGTCAAAACGACGCAAATCGATGAATTCGTCAAAACGACTTTCAGTGGCGAAACGAACCTCACCAACGCGTCCGGAACATCAAAATTACCTAAAAATGACATCAATTTTGTTATGTTTCGATGTCTGGGTGAAACACAAATTAAACTTCCAGTGGCGAAACGAACCTCACCAACGCGTCCGGAACATCAAAATTACCTAAAAATGACATCAATTTTGTTATGTTTCGATGCCTGGGTGAAACACAAATTAAAATTTTATTTTTTTTTAAAATCTTAAATATTTACTTTTATATAACTATTCTTAAATTATACTCATATTTAACCTAAACCAGAGATTTTAGGTCCTCACCCGCGACATTTCTTTTTCTCCCTCGACCAGGAGCCGCTCGGTGTCCCGTGCCCTAACTCCCGCAAGCATGGATCGATCGGGCGATGTCGCCGAGCCCGAGCGTCTTCCTCGCCTCCTCACACGCGGCATTTCGTCGTTGGTTGCGCACGCGGCTCGTTTCCACTCCGTCTGCCAGAAAGTAGGGAGGTGCTGTCAAAATCTCTTCAAAAATCATTCTTACTTGTTCTTTTCATCCTCTGTGGCTTAGGGTTTGTTGAAAAAATTTTTGAAAGAAGTTCTTGAGGGATTTTAGGGAGATTTGGATGCTTTTCTACCTCTATTATTCATCCTATTAGGAGAATCTCTTTTTTGTTTTCTCTGTTGGAAAGGAAGCTTTGCTCCTTTGAAGATCTTGGAATCTCGGATTTGTGGTGCCGTAAGCTGAAGATTGTGAAAAAATCTTCGTGAGTTGCTATTGGAGTAATTTTTCAAGCTTGTTTTACTCCTCCTTTGCTTTAAGTTTACAAAAAGAAGAGGTATTATTCTATCCTCCCCTATTTTATATTATTTCACATATCATGAAGCATGGAAATTACATTTTTGGGGTTTTTATCTACTTCCTTTGCTGTCCCTTATTGAAATACATGTTGGAAGAATGTTTTAAATGCTGAAAATTATATTTTTGGGGGATTTTTATCTACTTCCTTTGTTGCCCCTTGTTGAAATACATGTTGAAAGGATGTTTTAAATGCTGGATATTGCATTTTTAGGGCTTTTATCTTGCACTCCTTGCTGCCCCTTATTGAAAAATATGTTGGAGAATGTTTTAAATGCTGGAAATTACATTTTTGGGATTTTTATCTACTTCCTTTGTTGCCCCTTGTTGAAATACATGTTGAAAGGATGTTTTAAATGCTGGAAATTGCATTTTTAGGGCTTTTATCTTGCACTCCTTGCTGCCCCTTATTGAAAAATATGTTGGAGAATGTTTTAAATGCTGGAAATTACATTTTTGGGATTTTTATCTACTTCCTTTGTTGCCCCTTGTTGAAATACATGTTGAAAGGATGTTTTAAATGCTGGATATTGCATTTTTAGGGCTTTTATCTTGCACTTTTTGCTGCCCCTTATTGAAAAATATGTTGGAGGATGTTTTAAATGCTGGAAATTACATTTTTGGGGCTTTTATCTTGCTCCTCTTGCTGTCCCTTATTGAAATATATG